GGTGTTCCGAGCCGTGCCAGGTGCAGGGTCTGCTGGCTGGGTGCTGGCAGGCTTGCACCTGGCACGGGCACCATAGCCAGACCGTGTCCCTTTAAGGGCTCCGGGGCCGGGAGGCGGGCAGAAGAGTTTCCCTGGTGGTGCCCAGAATGGCCACCAGGGAAAGCTGGGCCTCCCACTAGTTCGAATTAAGTGGCTACACAGCCCTTAATTTGAACTACTTAATTCGAACTAGGCGTTAGTCCTCGTGGAATGAGGTTTACCTAGTTCGAATTAAGCGCTACGCTAGTTCAAATTAAGTTCGAACTAGCGGTTTGCTAGTGTAGCGCCTATCAAAGTTAATTCGAACTAACATCTGTTAGTTCGAATTAACTTTGTAGTGTAGACATACCCTTACAGTAGGAAGTCAGTACTTTTGCGGAAATTCAAGCAGCCAGTGTAGACAGCTGGCAAGTTTTTCCGGAAAAGCATCTGATTTTCTGGAAAAACTGGCCAGTCTAGACACAGCCATGGGTTCTAGAGCATCCTTGCTGGTCTGTAGACTCACAAGCATAATGTGCCCTACTTGGGTTCTACCTGTATATGCCTCACAAAGATTCAGATTCCTTACTCTGCCCACAAGCCCTCTTCACAGAACCCGGCTGCAGAGATGCCAGAACTGCTGTTTCCTAGTATGGGATCACAGTAACCCAGGTGTCATCTTTTAATATTTTCCTAGTTCAACCACAGACACGATCTGGCAAAATTGGTGACAAATGCAAGGGCTGGAAAAATGAGGGCTTGGGTGAGCACCTTGGCAGAAGAGCAGGCAGGAAACACCACACCTGCACAAAATGGAAAAAATCAAACGGCATGAGACTTTCCATCCCGATAACTCCTTCCACTCTAGGCACGTATATGGTCCCAATTTTACAGCCTCATGCATTGATTTATTTATCCTCACTATACCCCGAGAGGGAAGGCAGGGCTGTTGTCCCCATTCTACTACTGGGGAATTGAGCTACGAAGGATTCAAGCCCAGTTCTATTGAAAATTCCCAGTCACTTACCGGGTCAGGATTTCACCTAAAGAAATTAAGTGCTTTGCTTAACATCACACAAGAAGCCTGTGGTAGAAGCAGGGACTGAGACTGGGTCAGGGGATTCTTAGTTCAGTGCCTTAACCACAGGATCACTCGTATCTTAGCAGCTCACTTCTGCAACTTCCACCAACCTGGATTAGAGCACATCTCTTTTGCCTCTCTTCTGTAGAATGGCTGCCTGTGGTTGTGCTAGAGCAGTGTTTCTTAAATGTTTTAAGACCGAGGAACACCAAACAATAATTTTTTTTATGAAGAACACCAAGGATCTTTGGTTGAGCAAAAAAAAAAATCAGGGGAGGGGGGAAGGATAGGGGGAAAGTTATTGAGCCAACCCCCCCCCCAAAAAACCCCCAAAGGTCGCCTGCCCCTGACATAGCCCCGAAGTGAGAAGCGGAAAGACACTCCCCTACATGCCCCTCGCACACCCAAGGTTGTGAGTTGGATCCTGCTCTGGCTTGCTTGACTCCAGCCCACAAGGTTCAGGGTTCCTCCCTGCACAGTTGGGAACCAGTGCTGGTGCTCCAGCTGTGCGGGGGGAACTGGGGTGGGGCTAGACCACATGTGCTAGCTCCCCACTGTGTGGGGAGGAGCTTGAGCCTAGGGGGCCAGACCCAGGCAAGCCAGAAGCCAGATCCAGCCTCCAGGCCTTAGGTTCTGCACCCCTGCTAGGGAGACCCAGGCCACAAGCCTGCAGCTGGGAAGATACCTCGAGACATTTGCATGGGGGGGCACTTTCATTGTAACCGGTCTCCAAACAAGGCTATCTGAGAAGCACTTCATTAGTTTCTAGGGAAGACCCCGGAGAAGCACTTATCACAGCTGCTCTAATG